AAATTAATGTTTTTAACTCTTAATTGTTAAAAGAAATCTGTGTATTTATGAGGTTCTATTCCTAAATAGGTAGGGGAATTGAAAAAGGAAAAACCTGGGTACTCAAGGGGATTAAACTGGGGTGGCCAGCTCATACTCAGGGGGGACCATGGCCCCCCCTGTCACCCCCCCCTGCTGGCACCCCTGGAACCACTGGGTTGATTTAAATGAAACTTTCAGAATCTAATTATTGCATGTTTCTCTACATCTCTTTACATTTTGGAATTAATGCTATTTAACATGGCCACCTCAGCTTAATTATATTATCATACACGAAAATGGGTATAAATCAGTAAACTTAACAGATAACGAGCTAAAGATATTGAGAGTTGTTTACAGCACTTTGCACAGCATTTTTACTTAAAATTAGTCGTTACCTGTTAGAGTGATCTCTGTTAGTAAAATATTTYAGGAACCACAGGACACATTTGAATGAAACTCAGGACGTTAATCATCAGATGCACTTGGGAAACTGTATAAATCTTACAGGTATTGAGCTAAATGTTGATGTGGTAGTAGCTGAGAGTCATTACAACCCACACCTCAAAGCTGGTTCTGCAGAATCCTCACTGTGACCTGTCAGGTGTTCTAAAGCAGCATGCAGGAAGTTGGGGACATTGTGTAAAAATATATAAATAAATAAACAATTCAAACTAAGAGAGTTGCCTTGTCAAAATAAAATTTCTCTTTGGGGCAACGTGATTGGTTCAATTACCTGTCAATCAAAACTACAAAGGCTGAAATCCCCAACTGATTGAAATACGTGATTTGGACCAGAAGAGGGCGCTGTTTGTGCAGTTTCTCTGCAGGAACTTGAAGATTTTAGTTTGTGAAGCTGAAACGGAGCCACTCTGGACTCAGATCAGCTTGACATTTATTTAACTCTGTCTTTCTTTCTGCCTGCAGCCGAACTTCGGCGCCTCTCTGCACATCCTGAAGGTGGAGATCGGAGGAGACGCTCAGACTACAGGTGATGTTTGTTTGCTACCACACTTTCCTCCTCACTCAGAACAAATCGGCCCCGACACACTGCTCGACTTTGGTTTGTTTTCAAGATGAACAGTGTTTCATGCAGGTGCAACAAATTACAGAACAAGCCTTTAGAGTGGGATCTCACTAAAATAAACTTTCCACAAACGTCAGGATCTTCTGTCATTTCAAAGAATAAGATTTTGCAACAAAACCACAAAACTGATGTTTTGTTTCTGAATGTCCCGAGTTTATTTTTTGCTTTTTAATCTCTCAGATGGAACAGAGCCGTCTCACATGCACTACGAGGACGATGAGAACTACTTCCGTGGGTACGAGTGGTGGCTGATGAGGGAGGCCAAGAAAAGGAACCCGAACATCACGCTCATCGGTGAGAGTCCCCTGCAGCCGATCACATCGCTGATCAGGAATTGTAAATAAAAAAAATGTGATGATCGTTTCAATATGACAGGTTTGCCGTGGGCGTTTCCCGGGTGGGTGGGCCGAGGGAAGAACTGGCCCTACGACTTCCCGGACGTCACGGCAACGTATGTGGTGAGCTGGATCCTGGGAGCCAAGAAGTACCACGACCTGGACATCCAGTATGTGGGGGTATGTAGACCGCCACTCACTGCAGGACCCTGCCAGCTGATTAATCCGACTTTATGTTGTTTAACTTGKTTCTGATGGTGTCGGAGACGACACGGATCAGTTTTTGTTTTTTCAGAACATATTGTGCTGAAAACTGCTCTGCCTTCATTCTCCACGTCTCTCAGAGAAAACCTCATGAAGCTAAAAACAACAAAAACCTGTTGAATGGCTGCAAACCTGAAACATGATTCTGTATTCAAAGGAAAATATGCCAGTGATGTGACGGCATGGGTTAAATTGTGTTTTAGCTATTTTTTCCGAATATGAAGATATTTTCTTTCACTTTTTGTATTTTGAAGGATAAGCATTAGGGGTGTAAGAAAATATCGATACACTGAAATATCGTGGTATTTCATTTCCCGATACTGTATTGATATTCTAAAGCCCTGTATCAATTTTTAATTAAGGTTTAAAATGTCAACTTTCCTGCCAGCTGTTGATTTTTATGTTGTAGTTCAGCCTCTGACCACTAGTTGGCAGCAGTGAGCCAGGCATTTGGCTCCTCTACCTCTTGAGCGCCAGAGAGTAAGGGTAGCATTAGCATTGTGAGTAAACATTAGCTTTTCTTTATTTTTTTCCAGTAAGAGGTTTTTATTTAATAGAATTTTTGGACACAAAAAAATCGCAATATATTGCCTTGCTTACAGTATCCCAATATATCGGGATATATCGTATCGTGACCCCTCTGTTATGATATGTATCGTATCGCCAAATTCTTGCCAATACACAGCCCTAATAAGCATGTCACATTTACATTAAATTAATCAATGCAAATTAAGGCCCTAAATCTTTCAGAAGTCTTAAAAATGTTTACACATTGTAAGCAGGATGATTGTAATTCAGCTCAAATATTAAAATAATTCGTAACTTATTTGTTTTTAAAAATAATTTACTAAATGCCTCTCGCAGCTCATTGTTTTGTGTTTAAAAATAAGATTTGCGTAAAATTGTTGCTAACTGGGTTTTTTCTTTGTGTTTATTGTGAAGTTGATCCTAAATTTCATATCAAGTGATAATAAAGATATCTTACGTGGAACTGTCTTTAAGCTAACCCTGATAAAGCTCACCGGAGGAAGACGTGCAGAGATGAAAACAGCTTTGAAGAACAATTTACCTTAAAGTGGTTGAATTTTACTGTGGGAAGAGTACGAACATTAAACATGCAGGAAATGAAATAAATCACGTGACCACCCATGAGGTTGCTTTAAAGGAAAGCAAACTTGTCATTAAATCACTTTAAGCCCACTAAAAAGAATCTTAATGCTTTTTTTACAACACATTGTGGGTTAATTTTAGTTTGTGCTTGTTATGAAACTAAAATTTCCTCTTTTTTTCTTGATTCAGATTTGGAATGAGCGCGAGTACGACGTCACCTACATAAAGGTAACCCTGCAGTCATGCTCCTCCTCTCACTGACGCGACGAGGAAGAACAGCCACTGGCGTTGAGCTGAGATGTTTGGAACGCTCTCGTTGCGCTCCGTCTGAGAACGTGTGTTTGTCGCCAAGGTGCTGCGGAACATGCTGGACCGACTCGGTCTGACCGACGTYGGCATCATCGCAGCAGACGGCGACTGGACCATCGCCCAGCACATGATCACCGACTCTCAGCTTAAAGCTTCTGTTCAGGTGATCGGGTGAGTACCGTTAAAATGTCCGAGCGCCCGACGGATCGGACGGAGATCCCTGATTGGTCAAACAAATCGTAATCTTTCTCCTCAGCTGAACGTTGGTGGCTGTTCTCCTCTGCTCTTAAAGGGATCCCTGATTAGTTGTAACATTAGACTCTATTTGATAAACATGTATTTTAACTGTAAAATAAAGACTGTAAAAATATATTTTAACACAGACGGAGCCATTTTATTTACACACAAAGCATTCTGGGTAAATGATGACGTGGATAGGTCCTCGGTGCGAGGCTGCTAGCGAGCTATATCCACCCTGAAGGTTAATCTTGGACAATATCTGATGATCGACTCTTTTAAATGAAACCAGAGAGCRTTGACAGAGAGGAGAAGGTAGAAATGACTCAGCCTGGAACTGAAAATATGGATGGAGGACAACAGAGCTGCTTCATGGAAGAAGAACCTCAGCTTAGCCTGTTGGCTTTAGCTTTAGCACTGACGCTATATTGCCTTATATGTATTAGCTCAGCACTAGCGCGACAAACAAGCTAAACTGAGTTTCTCCATCCATATTTTCAGTTGCAGCTGAGTCATTTTTGTGTTCCCCTCTCTGTCATGTGGATGGAGGACCTCAGTGATGTGAGTTTAATGTATAGTGCTGAGCTAATACATATATATGGTGATAGCATCGGGGCTAACGATAAAGCTAACAGGCTAAGCTGAGGGTCTTCTTCCATGAAGCAGCTCTGTTGTCCTCCATCCATATTTTCAGTTCCAGGCTGAGTCATTTCTACCTTCTCCTCTCTGTCAACGCTCTCTGGTTTCATTTAAAAGAGTCGATCATCAGATATTGTCCAAGATTAACCTTCAGGGTGGATATAGCTYGCTAGCAGCTTCGCACCGAGGACCTATCCACGTCATCATTTACCCAGAATGCTTTGCATGTAAATGAAGTGGCCCCGTCCGTGTAATATTTTTTAACTTTTAGTTTAAAAATGATAAAAACTGAACACCCTACAGTATTTTTACAGTATTTATTTTACAGTTATAATATATGTTTATTAAATAAAGTCAAATGTTACAACTAATCATGGATCCCTTTATGTTTATAAACTAACACTCAGATCACTCTGAATAAATAAATTGTTTCTGTTTTGCTGCTTTCATGTAAAACACTTAAAATAATTCTTCACTTTAAAGCTGTACTCGTTTGCTGTAGGGTTAAACAGATGCTTTTAAATGAGCTGATATCTGTTGGTGTCACCTTCATGTTTAAACAAAGTGTTTAAAACTTCATGTGGTTTTTACCAACACTTCACCAGACTTTCAGACGGTGTTAGAGTTCTGCTGTTGTTATTGATCTTTATTGATCCCAGTCCATTAAAAACTATGAGGTAATCAATTTACAACTAAACCATCGTAGGTTTTTAGCAAAAGATTATCCAAACATTTTAAATAAAACATATTAAAAAATGGATGGTTATTTTATTTATTTAAGTTTATTAATTTCTTTTAAAAAAAAAACAAATTCAATATACAACAAGAATACAAATCATAAATTAAATGAAATGAAAGGTAGCAGAAGAAGAAATGTCTTTGTCAGAATAAATCCAATCGAAAATAATCTTCAGATGACAAAAACAAATTTCATTTCATCTCCAAAAAATGGGAAAACGATCTGCCGTTTTTCACATTGTAGATATCAGACCGTTAACCCCTTAAGAGTTGCCCCTGAAATTCCTTAAAAGCTAATCAACATTTTTATTGGTTTATTTTTTGTAAGGATGTCTAAAAACCAAAATTTTAAAGGCTGAAACTACATCGTTTTTTTTTTTTTTTTTTGGCCCACCAGAAGAACAAAAACTGTTAATGTGGAGCTCGTTAAATAACGTTTTATGGACAGATGGCTGCCTGTAAATAAATAAATACATAAATGTTAGCTAACWACTTCTGCGTTTCTGTAGCTAATTAACTGCAGACTGGATTTTTTATTAATATAGGCAGTCTAGCTAATTAATAAATTAGTACACCTGCTTCTTGTTAGTGTTCATTGGTATAGCGCCACCTTTTGTTTCTGGAGTGCAATGATGCCATTTTTTTCAAATACAGTATGGTTCTGACGTTGACCCGCCTCTTTCTGCAGCCAGGTCCTTCTCACTTTTTCACCAATTTTCAGTTCTTGATTATTTTACAGGAACCACATTGTCTGATTTCTCTCTCAGAACACGATCAGACTCTAAAAAACAGGGTAGTAGGGCTGCAACAATCCATCGATCCACATCGATATATTGATTAAATGATTAATGAAAACATCGATCCAAATCGTCGTCATAAACCCAACTAACACAATCATTTATGGTAGGTGGACACATATCGTATCATATTGATCGCAGAGTTGAGTTGAAGTGTTAAAAAYCGTGACAGACTTAATGATATTGAGAAACATGGTATGGTGATCCACTCGTACAGTTMGCCCAATAAGTTGTACTGTTTGAGTTCTGCCTCTGTTCGTCCCTACAAAGTGAAGTAAGTGTTTTTCCATGCTGGCAGCAAACATCTAAGCTGTGCGAGGTGTGAACGTCTCCTCTCTCCATCTCTGACTCTACCAGCTGCTGCGCTACACTCTGGATAAGAGTGGTCTGGATGGGGTCAGGATTATAGCCAGCGACAACCTGTGGGAGCCCATTACCCAGTCGCTGCTGCTCGACCCCGAGCTCAGCAGCGCTGTAGACGTGCTAGGGTAGGCCGCGGACCCCCTTTTGTCTCTGTGTTAGAGTGTGTAACAGCTTTAGGACAAAGTTCTCCACCTGTTCCTAACATGTGGTCGTGATGTTTCTGAAAATGTGAAGTGGCTGTGTTCACCTGGAAGTCTGGTCTTCTGACCTTCACTTTGGATTTTTGTGACCCAGAGCTCACTATCCAGGAACCCGGACCGTGTCGCAGGCCCTGAAGACCGAGAAGAAGCTGTGGTCCTCGGAGGACTACAGCACCTTCAACGATGAGGTGGGAGGAGGCTGCTGGGCGAGAATCCTCAACCAGAACTACGTCAATGGAAACATGACTTCGTAAGGATCACACACACTTGTCTTTTTTTCAAAAAACTCGTTGCTCTCCTCGAGTCTATCAAACCAAACTGTCTCCGTCCTGCAGAACCATCTCCTGGAACCTGGTGGCCAGCTACTACCAGGACCTGCCGTTCGGCAGAGACGGGCTGATGACGGCTCAGGAGCCATGGAGCGGGAACTACGTGGTGGAATCTCCCATCTGGATCACAGGTCTGCGTCGCGCCCTGAAAACTCTTTGTTTGGGAAGGTTTCTCGTTTGTTTGACGCCGTGTTGGATGTAAACTTCTTTTAATTACTCGTAGCCCACAGCACCCAGTTTGTGCAGCCCGGGTGGACGTACCTGAAGACTGTAGGACATCTGGATCAGGGAGGGAGTTACGTCGCCCTGACCGACGGGAAGGGAAAYCTCACTATTGTCATAGAAACCATGGTGAGTGTTCGGTCCTTCTCAGTCAGATTAGGGYTGCGCAATGGACCCTCTACCGTCCTGTCGTCAGTTACTTCATCACACCTGTGTCAACAGGGCRGTGAGTGCAGAGACAACTGAGCAGGAGTTCGAAAATATTCTGAAAATATATGAAGAAATAAAGCGTTTTAAAACATGTATAGAGAGAATAAATCCTCAAAATTTCCCCCTCCTGCTGTAAAAAATTACGTTGTGTTGTGGGATCATTTCCTCCCTCTCTCCCGCTGCACGTTGCCCAGAGCGAAACATTAAAGTGCCTGTGACATGCATGTACTTAAAATACAAAAAGGTCAAAGAAAACATCTTTATACTTAAGAAAATTGCCCTAATACACATGACTTTTACCAATTTTGTCACATAACTGGCCTATTTTCTTTTGAATTTGTCTCAGCTAAAGTAAGACAGGAAGTGACATCAAAGGGGAACTCATTAATAAAATAAATCTTTGGTCTTTGTGTATTAACAGTATCATTTAAACTTTAACTCTTCATCTCTTTGATAGTGACTCAAAATAATGTAAATAAAAATCAGATTCTTTACAGTATGTTAACCGTTGTAGCAGCGTTCTGTTCACATGCAGATATTCCCCTTTGACATCACTTCCTGTTACTTCACATGCAAATATCTCAACAACTGTTCATCTCAGCGACATGAAATTTCTTTTGCAATATGTCATGAATGTTATCTTTCCAAAAATGTGTTCATGTTTATGTCAAAAATTTGACGTCACAGGCACTTTAACCACCGTAGTTTTTCTGCACTCAAGTTGTCAGAGAAAAAACTTGTTTTTATGTATTGTTACCCACAGAGATGATAAAAAAAAAAAAGATGTGGACGTTTGCTCAGTCATAATTTCATCTTGCTAATGCAACCTGTGCTTCTGCTCTGATGAAGATGATGAAGATGAGAGCGCAGCAGGCGATAAGTTCAGCAGGCAGAAGCTTATGTATGGCAGGCCAATATTACATTTATTTGGCTTCACCACACTTACATTCCAGTTATCTGAAATTGTTTTATGACTAAGACTGTGTGCAGCTCACACCATAACATTTTAGGCAACTTATGTCAACTTAGATTTTTTTATGTTTAAATTACTAATTTTACTTTAAGTCCTGGTTATAACTTCCACTTTATTTTGATATTGTTGAAAATCTGGGAAAAGTTTTTGTTGTTGAAACCGTTTTGCAATATATATAGAACATTCTTTTGTACTTCTGTTATGTTGATTTGCACTACAGCAAAAATGCAGGGTTTGATTATGATTAGTTTTCTGCAAAATAAATGCTTTAAAAATTACATTATCTTTGCTTTTTATGATAATTCTCTACCACAATAGATACTGTTACCCTGAAGGGATTCAATTTATACCCTGATATGGATTTCAGATAAAACTAAAACTGTTGCTGTAATAAACCAAATGAGCTCAGTGGTTTTTATATACGAATGCATAAAATAAACTGTCCAACAAACAGAAAACGGTAGTGTGAATGCTGACTCGGCTTTTTTTTTCTTCTTCAGACTCACGATCACTCAGTCTGCATCAGACCTCCTCTTCCTGCGTTTAACGTGACATCCCAGAATGCAACATTCCAGCTGAAAGGATCCTTCGTAAGTTCAGATGAGCTCTTTATCTGTCAGCTGAAACTGAATGTAGAGGTTTAATTAGTATTTTTTTTACTTGTGTTTTTATTTTCTCTCAGGCTTCCATCAAAGAGCTCCAGATGTGGCGTTCGCAGTTTAACTTTAAGACCAGCCAGCCCTCGTTTTTTGAGAAACTGCCGCCTGTGAAGGTAAAAGTGTGAATAAAGATGAAAGGCGTTGGAGCTGGTTTTTAACTCGGCGTCTCTGCAGCTCATTAACGGGTCGTTCACGCTGAACCTGGCCGAAGACGAGGTCTACACTTTCACCACCGTGGAGACGGGACAGAAGGGCAGCTACCCCGACCCGCCTCCGTCTGCTCGCTTTCCCAAAACCTACAAGGACAMCTTTGATGTTTGTACGTACGCTTTTATCCCTCGTCCTGTTCCAGGTGGAGTTCCATCCCTTCCATCAGCGGGTAAAAGATCTGTTCCTCTCGGTTCTGTGCAGTGAACCCTCCGTTCTCCGAAGCTCCGAACTTCGCCGACCAGACCGGCGTGTTCGAGTACTACAAGAACCTGACGGACCCCGGACCTCACGTCTTCACGTTACGACAGGTCGTGACGGAGAGACCGATCACCTGGGCGTCCGACGCCGACCAGACCGTCAGCGTCATCGGAGACTACCTGTGGTAAGACGGCATTCTGAGCGCCGCTGGCTCCGGAGATGAGGGAAACAGTTAACATGTCCGTGTCATAGAGTTGGGTGAAATTAATTAAAATTGCATCATCAATTATTTGTTTGGTACTTGACGATTAATAGGATTAATGCCATGAGACAAATTGACTGGAGTTTCCCTGGTCAGTCCGCTCACTGGTCCTCTCCGCTTCAAATATAATGAGCGTTTTTAAAAAAAAAGGTTCTGTAATTTACCGTATTTATTCAAGTATAATAAGTAAAATTAAATCCATAAAGTCATCCATAAAGTTGGGGGGGGGTAGTACTATACTCTGATAAATACTTTTACTTATGTATTTTAACTGAAATATTGGCTTCATTCACAAAATTATTGAGTCCGTAAATGAGACCGTGTCGTAAAATAAGTTAAAACAAGTTTACCCAGACACTCCTCCGTGCTTCAGAGCGAGATAACAGATCCAGGCAGGTGACATGATGTGGGAAAAAAAAAGAAAAAAGGCAGTCCTGCACCTTAGTAATGATAACGAACTAATGACATTAGCGTGTGACCGGACCGCTCCTCGAAC